CCCTAGTGAGAGTAAATTTAATTAAACCAAGACCCTGTCCTACTGGACTGTGATTGACTTTTTTTTTTTGAGTTGGAGTCCACTCTGTTGCCCAGACTGGAGTGCAGTGGCCGCTCCCGGCCACCGCAGCCTCGACCTGCTGGGCTCCGGCGATCCTTCCGCCTCAGCCTTCCGAGTAGCTGGAATTACAGACGCGCACTACCACACCTGGCTAATTTTTTTATTTTATTGCAGAGATGAGGTCTCGCCTGCCCAGGCAGGTCTCGAACACGCGGGCTCAGGCAATTCACTCACCTCAGCCTCCCAAAGGCGCGGGATTACAGGCTGAGCCACCGAGCCCGGCTGTGATTGACTTCTTGACCACAAGCTGTCTGTATCCCTAAGAAACATTCTCACAAATATGTGACATTAAGCTTGAGGTGAACCAAGCAAGAACATATAGATAGCTCAGCTGAAATCAGCAACCATTGCATATCTACTATCTGCAAGGCTTTATAATATCTGTCAATGAACTATGCAAATATGGTTGGTAAAAAGCATCACCTTTGAGTATGAAAGTTTATATAATGTAGAGGCTAGCTTGAAAAGTCCACCTACTACTCCTAGAATCTTATAGAATATGAATATGAAACTAAATCCCAAATTGGAACCAGAACAATCATTTCCAAGGCAGTAGTGAGGTAAGAGATTCATGGTTTCTCTTTAGGAGTTACTGCCTTTCAAAATTACTTCCTTTCTACAGATTTTCTGAGAAATGACCACTAATTTGCCTTTGATTACACACTCAAATATTTTGTTGCTTTGCCTAGGGTTTGCTGAAGCAATTCTCACTGAGGGTTTCTCATCTACAATTAGAAACAAGAAGTTCAACTGGTTGCCATTATTATAGTCAAATTGTGTTCTGATTAAATGTACTTCATTAATGCATGCTGAAGAATCTTTAATAATTTTTATAAATTTTGGAGGAATATCATATTTTGTATATCTGGGAATAAGTATTCTTTGACATAGTCTGTATTCTGAACTCTGTTTATATGTGAACACCTTAAGTTATTATCCAAGACTGACATTTAAGCTCTCATTTATCAGGAAGATGTGTATATGAGGTGAAGTTATATCTCAATTATCCTAACAATTCAATATTGTCATAGACAGAAAACCTACAATCATTAATGTTGCAATTATTCTGGCCCAAGGCATTCATGTATTCGTGGGAGGCCTTCTATCTTGGATTTCTCAAAGCAACAAGAACATGGTTTGAGCCAACCATAAAATCTATGCCAACATACACCCACAAACAGTTCCAATAAAATTAAACTCTAAGGAACTGTGATTTAATAATGGAAAATATTGCTAACTGGTGCAACACAGTTTATGGTTAGGAAATTTCACCACTGTCTTGAATACTAGTCTTGTCAAAGACTTAACAATAGATGAGAATCTTACTTCCATCAGTCCCTTCCCCTCCAAACTTTTGAACCCTACTGGGCTTTGGATTCTAAAAGGGCTAGTGTGATCCTTGCCTGGTGATGTTCATAAACACATTAACTCTTAAAATGAGACCTAATTCTGAATAAAGACTTGCCTAATTTTTACTTTCATTTCATGAGAGGGCCTATCACTCAGAATCTGATGGCCAACATCCAGAAGTCTAGGTAGAACTCAAATACACACCTCCAATTCTACAAGGGGTTCAGTTTAGTTGTTCTAATTAGCTGACCTCTTCTTCTTATTTAGAAGGCATGAGAAATCACCATGATATTCTTGAGGAAGGGCTTACTATACCCTTGTTGATTTCCTTAGCCATTCTTCACTGGCTGCTTTAAGAGATACTGTTAGATACTGTTGAGAATCAGCTGACATTTGGGGGTCAGTTGCAATCATACTGATGACTTATTTCATTTCAACAAGTACTTATTGAGCAGCTTTAGAGTGTTTAATAAGTATTGTGCAAGATATTACAGCATATACCAAAAAGTGTGATTTATTACTTACTCTTAAGTTTATTTCTTTTGTGGTAGGAAGAGGGTGCTGAGAGAACAAGACTTACATCCATAAAATTATACCTAATTACCTATCCCTCTGAAAGGTCATGAAAATATTAAGTAACAAGGTAACTGAAAACAATTCAATATAATTGAACACAAAGAGCTAAATTAAATTAGCTTGTTGGCTGGCATAGTTTCAGTTTTTATGAAGGTAGTTTACCTTGAGATGAGTTTCAAAAGATGGGTATGATTTGGATACACAGTAGTGATCACCTTCAAAATCCATTTATCATCTATATACTTAGGAATAAAAGCGTTTCTAGGGCACTAGGTTCCACATGCAATATCAAAAGTAATATAAAATGTGATCCAGTTATTATCCTTTAATGTGTCTTGGAGATAGGAGGTGTAGTGGCCAACAACACTATAAAGATTGGTACCCGAGTATATGAAACCAATAGAATGTGTCTTATTTGGGACACCTCATAATCATTTGTGTCTAGAATTTTAAATGTCTCTGAGGTCTACAAGTTTCGACACTTGGCCCTGAGCTACTCTTTCCCATTTCAGATTGACTAGATATTCAGTCAAAATAATAAATGGAAGTAGTCCAACAAGAAATACATAAAATCACATGAAATTGAGTAGGTTACTTAATCTAACTCTAAGATGTACTGGCAAATTTCACTGGAAATATACAAGTCCAAATGAAAATAATTTATCTATAGTCAGTATAATTCAAAAATCAGTATGTTGAATAGGTATCTGCAATCTTATATTTACTGCAGTAGTATTCACAATAGCCAAGAAATGGAATCAACCTAAGTGCCTGTCAACAGATTAATGGTAACATCCAGGATCTACAAGGAACTCAAACATGACGAAAGGAAAAAAAAACAAACAGCCCCATTAAAAAGTGGGGCAAAAGACATGAACAGATGAATCTCAAAAAAAGATATACTGGCAGCCAATAGACATGAAAAAGTGCTCAGCCTCATTAATCATCACAGAAACACAAATCAAAACTACATTGAGATACCACCTAATCCCAGCAAGAATGTCCATCATTAATAAAACAAACAATAGATGCTGGTGAGGATGCAGAAAAAAGGGAATGCTTCTATACTGCTAGTGGGAATGTATACTATTTCAACCTCTATGGAAAACAGTGTGATGATTTCTAAAAGAAATAGAAATTGACCTTCCATATGACCCAGCAGTACCCTACTGAGAATGTGCCCAAAGGAGCTAAAATCATTCTACAAAAAAGATAACTGCTCATTCATATTTATTGCAGCATTATTCGCAGTAGCGAAAACATGGAACCAAATCATCTAAACAGGACTGGATTAAAAAAAATGTACATATATATGATGGAATATTATGCAGCCATAAAGAAAGACAAACATATGAACTTCGCAGCAACTTGGATGGATTTAGAATCTATCATACTCAGTGATCTATCACAGAAACAAAGAACTGAGTACCACATTTTCTCACTCAGAAGTAGACCCTGAACATTTACCATAGTACTATAAGAAAGGGATTGGGAGTAGGGGGGGATACTGGTGGGGTGGCAGTGGGGACACAACATCAATAAGAATACCTGCTCTCAAACCATGCAAAGTGGGGACCAAAGGGAGACCCAAACTTTACCTGTACATGTCCACTTGTATACCTAATTCTGAATTGTACCCCACATCTTTAAAATGAAATATAAATTTTAAAAAAAGCAAAACAGATAAATGGATAAAGAAAATGTGATACTTATACTCAATGGAATATTACTCAGGCTTAAAAAAAGAATGAAATCCTGTCATTTGAGGCAACGTGAATGAGCATGGAAGACATTAAGTGAAAAAGACCATGCACATAAAAATAAATATTGCATGTTCTCACTCATATATGGAGGCTAAATATGTTGATCATAAAAGTCGAGAATAGAATAGTGGTAACTAGAGGCTGCAAATGTAAGGAGAGAAGAGGGTATAAGAAGAGATTGGTTAACTGATACAACATTACAGTTATGTTGGAAAAATACATTCCAGTGTTCTAAAACATTGTCAGGAGACAATAGCTAACAGTAATTTACTCTGTATTTTCAAATAGCTAGAAGAGAGGACTTTGAATGTTCCTAACATGAAGAAATGACTTTTGTTTGAGGTGATGAATATGCTAATTATACTGATTTGACATTACGTATTGTTTACAGGTATTGAAATGTCACACTGAAATCTATAAATATATACTTTTATCATGTGTTAATTAATTTTTAAATTAAAAAATAAAAATACAATTTACATTTTCTTTTCCCACAGGAGATAGAAGAGTAAGTCATGTGGTGATAATGGAGAATTTAGAGATTTTGATTTACTTTTTTTTACTGTTTTATTAAAGTACCCATATTCAAGAATTTGTATATGTTATATAAGCTTTGCTTTCATTAGATCATTTAGACTTGAGTGAAATGAAATTGAAAATGCTATTGCAATGTTGATTTTCCTTTAAATTCTTCTCATATTGAAAGGTGCATACCTCAAATACAATACATATATACAATATATATGACTTGATTCATGTGATGACTTTATTTATTTATTTTTTTTTTGAGTTGGAGTCTCACTCTGTCGCCCAGACTGGAGTGCAGTGGCCGTTCCCGGCTGCCGCGGCCTCGACCTGCTGGGCTCCGGTGATCCTTCCGCCTCAGCCTTCCAAGTAGCTGAAACTACAGGCGTGTGCTACCACACCCAGCTAATTTTTTTTGATTTATTGTAGAGATGAGGTCTCGCCAAGTTGCCCAGGCGGATCTCGAACCCGCGGGCTCAGGCAATTCACTCACCTCAGCCTCCCAAAGGCGCGGGATTACAGGCTGAGCCACCGAGCCCGGCTCCATGTGATGACTTTAATAATTATTTTACTTTAAAATATCTGTAAACTTAAAACAACATAATATTGTTTATAATTATGATTGATGTTTGCTCAGGTGATAATTATGATTGATGTTTGCTTCAGGTGATAATTCAGGATGATGGCCCTGAAAAATTGGACCCCAAATATTTTGGAGAGTTGCTTGCTGATCTAAACCGTAAGAATACAGATCTATATCACTGCTTATTAGAACATTTGGAGAGAATTGGAGGAAGGTACTGTAAACATATTATTTACCTGAATTTTGCAGTTATCAAACATTTTACAACATTTTAGTATTTTTAAAATAGATACTATTTTTACTAACAGTTTTATATTCACAGGAAATCTCTAGTACTTTTTTTTTTTTTTTTGAGTTGGAGTCTCACTCTGTCGCCCAGACTGGAGTGCAGTGGCCGCTTCCGGCCACCACAGCCTCAACCTGCTGGGCCCCGGCAATCCTTCCGCCTTAGCCTTCCAAGTAGCCGGAATTACAGGCATGTGCGGCCATGCCCGGTTGATTTTTTGATGTTATAGAGTTGAGGTCTCGCTGCCCAGGCGGGTCTCGAACCCGCGGGCTCAGGCAATCCACTCACCTCAGCCTCCCAAAGGTGCAGGATTACAGGCTGAGCCACCGAGCACGGCTATCTCTAGTACTTTTAATGGGCTAATAGGGAAATGCTTGAGTAGATCTGAGCAAATGCCTCATTTTAAGAGTTAATGTAGTTTATGAAAATCATTATCATGAAACCAAGATGACTCAAGTCATTTTAGGATTAGTAAAGAATTCTGTGTGTTTTCTTCTCTAATGTACTTTGACAAAACAACCTCTTGGGCAAGGAACTCAAGAAATGCATGGTGTATTATGACTTGTTTTAAGATATTATACTGATGATATAAGATACAGTCCCACTGCTAACCCACCATTGTTTATCTTCTACATGTGTATGTTCAACATATAGAGACTAGAGTTTAATATATATTTGATATGTTATATATTACATATAAAATTTGTGTATTGTATTAATATTATATATAATATAAATTATATGCAAATATAGTCATAAATTGATATCAATGTAAAATTTTATGTAATGATGTAATATATAATTGCATATTGAAATATATACACAGTAATAACTTATCAACTGTTCATGTGTAGATAAGAGCATATTATGTCATGAAATTAATTCTATAAGCTACACCCCAAAAGTTGCCTTCTACTATATAGTTGCAGCATATATGTAGTCATCTATCAGGAAAAATGTAGGAAAGTTTCACAAATTCAGAGTAATCTGGAAGATAAAGGAAATAGAACTTTTTCTAATTCAGACTTTTCACTAACTAAATTCTTCTACTTCTTAGAGTTTTAAAATAATATATAATTTTATGTATTACACAGGTTACATAAATGAGATGACACTAAATATACTATTTTGTACACCTTTTCACTAAAAAATGAATGAATAGTATTTGTATAGTATATATTTTATGCAGTATATGTTTTTATTGTATAAAGTATATATTTTTTCACGTCAATAATATTTTTAGTGCCTGCAATGTAGTCTCTCTTAAACTCTTGTCCATGTCTTTTTTCTCCATTTATTGGCTCCTCCCTCCAGAATTTCCTTGCTTTCATACTCATGACTGCAATGATTCTCTGACCATCACCCTCAACTGCTTTGGCTCCTTATCTAACTGTTTCTCCCACTTAGCAAAATCCAGACTCTGGGTTACTCTAGCTCCCTGCCTTGTTTATTGTCTCTTTACCACCACCTCCTTCATCCAACACACAACACATACTATCCTTAGAATGCAGAGGCCTCCATGAGGCTGTTTTATTTACCCAGATGTTTTTCGTGCATAGTAAGGTGACCGGTTTAGTGTGATGCTCAATACATATTTTTTGAAGGAATGAATGCCTTCTTTACTGCTACACCCATGTAGTGGATCGCTGCTAGAGAAAGCAGAGTCATTTATTTGAGCTGGTGCTATTATAAATGCATGATTTCCATCTTCAGCTAGGCCTTCATCATTGTTTTATCCTAATCAACACCCTCTTCCCCACTACCTATTACTCAAACAACTCTCTCTCTCCCAATATCCAATTATTTCTCACATTCATCTCTTTATATAAGTTCCCTACCTTAAAATCATTCCCCTAACTCATTGGTCAATCATTTCTTGCGAGTTCACCATGTGCCAGGCACTGTGCTAAGTGCTTTTTATTCATACTATATAATTTGCACAATAACTCTACAATGATTCAGATGGAGACCTAAAGAGATTGTCACTAATTTAAGATTACACAGATAAGTGCTTGAGATGTATCCAAACATTTTTAAGTATGTTTTTACTTATAAACTCTGACTCAGCTTTTCAGCGAGGCCTATAATATAACTTCAATTTGGTCTAGGTGCTTCTCTTCTGTGCATTAATCATGCCCTGTGTATATTTCTATCAAAGTGTTACATTGTAAAATTGACATATCTAGTATGTAATCATAAGTACCCTGATTCTAAATCCAGAGTTTATATCCTGGGTTCATGTTGCAACTTCTGTTACATACTGGATGTACAATATCAGGCAACTTGTTTAACTTCTCTGTTCCTCAGTTTCTTCAACTGTAAAACAATGATTATAAAATACTCACAGATTTGTTATAAGTAATAAATGAATTAAGACATGTACTTACAAGCAGCATTAACATAATTACTTATACACAATGGAGTATTATACAACTATAAAGATGGACAAAACTATAGACTTTGCAGCAACTTGGATGGATTTAGAGTCCATCATACTCAGAGAACTATCACAGAAACAAATAACTGAATACCACGTGTTCTCACTTATAAGTGGGCTCTGAACATGGATCACAATACTAGAAGAAAGGGATTGGCAGTAGCAGGACACTGCCAGGGGAGGAAGGAGGAGGGGTGTTGTAACCTCACTATGGGTACCAGATTCTAAATCAGGTGATGTGAGGTCCAGATGGAGGCCCAAACCTCACCTGCTTGTAAATCACTCAGGGACCTCATTGCACCCGACATCTTTATAAGAAAATAAAATAAAATAGTCTTGGAAATAAATCTAAATGAAAGTAGAGAAAGTAAATGAGCAAGGGAAGTTAAATTATTTCATAAGGATCATCCTGGTAAAGGTGTCATTGAGGGTTTTGAATACTTCCTCTCATTAAGGGGTTTTATAAAAATACAAAGGTAATGACCTAAATGTATAATTAAGCATGAGAATGATTTGACTTTAATTCTAGCTAAAAGTACCAAAAGGAAAACAGAAAACTGGTGCCTCCAAATTAGTAAACACTCTGGAGTGGATTAAGGTCTCATAAAATGTTGGTTCCCAAAATTTCTGTTTGTCATAAGGTTGTTAGCTTTTTTATCTGCATCCCTTCCTTCTTTCCCTACTTCCTTTTGTTTTTGCTTATTACATTCTTTCCTTTTTTGGAGGTGAGATGGCATAAAGTGACTGTCATTCTGTTTCTTTTTCTGTCCAATGTCACTCTAGTCACCATTCCCCAGTGCTGAATGAAGATATAATCCATATTGAATTTCCCACCTCCCTGGTCTTCTCTCTTTGTCTCCATTTTCTCCCTCTCTCCCTCCCCTTTTGTCTCTACTGTTCTTCTCTTTCCAAAACGCACTTCAGCAATAAGTGGACTGCAAGGTCAGAATTAAGAAAGATTGTCTCATGAAACTATTCTGGTTACTTTGAACAATTCCAATATTAAGCACCATTGATTACTCCTTGCTTTGTTTCTTTGTATAGTTTTCTTATTTATGGAAAAAAGTAAGTGACTAGGGGCATGTATATTAGATTGGCATTGGAATTGGGAGAAATAAAATTGGTATTTTTTAAATGAAAAAGGTCTGTTAATACCATCACAATTCCAGTTAACAGTAATGCATGGTTACAAAATCTGCATTGTAATTCATGTTTTTAACTTGCTTTACCTTCAAATATGTACATGCAGCTACTTTAGTAAATCATTAAAAAACTAGATGCTATTTCAGCTTTTGTGAGGGTCTTTCCACAATTTTTACTTTGGGCAACACAGAAAATACTACATATGTACATGCAGACAATTGCACATATGTAGTCATGCCTTGGGAAATGGAACTTTCAGTTCTCTTTCTCTATACTAGTTTGTACATTTGCAAGAGATTTTTCACAGTGAGTGACCCACTTATAAGCAATTACTTAGAAAACAGTGGTAGAAGCAAATGCATTAAAACTGTTTTACTTTATATATATATATAGTCTTGCTGTCAGAAAATATGTACTTTTTTGTCTGAGAAGTAGAGGTATTGCATTAAATCTGTAGATTTCTTTGGGTAGAATGGACATCTTTTTTATCATTAGTTTTATTTACTTATTTTTTGTTTGCTTTTTTATTTTATTTTTTCATTTTAAAGATGTGGGGTATAATTCAGGGTTAGGTATACAAATGCTCATTAAGCATGTACCCTTGTTGATGAGGTGTGCCCGCCTCCCCTTGGAAGATTCTCACTACTGCCAATCCAGCCCCCGCCCTCCCCTGGCAGTTTCCCACTACTGCCAATCCCTTTCTTATAGTATTATGATAATTGTTCAATGTCCGCTTATAAGTGAGAACATGTGGTATTCAGTTCTTTGTTTCTGTGATACATCACTCAGTATTATAGATTCTAAGTCTGTCCAGGTTGCTGTGAAGTTCATAATTTTGTCCTTCTTTATGGCTGCATAATATTCCATCATGTATATGTACCACTTTTTTTATTCAGTCCACTTTCGATGTGCAGCACAGTTGGTTCCATGATTTTGCTATTTTCAAAAATTCTGCAATAAATATAGTGTGCAGGCATCTTTTTCAAGAGTGATTTGAGTTCTTCTGGGTATATTCCCAGTAGGGGGATTGTGGGGTCGTATGGAAGGTCAATTTTTAGATCTTTTAGGAATCACCACACTGTTTTCCACAGAGGCTGTACTAGTTTACATTCCCACCAACAGTGCAGAAGTGTTCTCTTTTCACCACATCCTCTCCAGCATCTGTTGTTTTTTTTTTTGTTTGTTTGTTTTGTTTTTGAGTTGCAGTCTCACTCTGTCGCCCAGACTGGAGTGCAGTGGCCGCTCCCGGCCACCGCAGCCTCGACCTTCTGGGCTGCAGTGATCCTTCCGCCTCAGCCTTCCAAGTAGCCGAAATTACAGGCATGCGCTATCACGCCCGGCTGATTTTTTGATTTATTGTACAGATGAGGTCTCACTGCCCAGGCGGGTCTCGAACCCGTGGGCTCAGGCAATCCACTCAACTCAGCCTGTTGTTTTTTGAGTTATTGATAATGGTCATCCTGACTGGAGTTAGGTGATATCTCAGAGTGGTTTTAATTTGCATTTCTTTGGTGACTAGTGAGGCTGAGCATTTTTTCATGTATCTATTGGCTGCTCATATGTCTTCTTTTGAGAAGTGTCTATTCATATCTTTTGTTCACTTTGTGATGGGGTTGTTTTTTTTGGCATGTTTGAGTTCCTTGTAGATCCTAGATGTTAGGCCTTTGTCAGATACAGTTGACAAATATTTTTTCCCAGGCTGTAGGCTGTCTCCCTGCTCTCTCAATGATTTCTTTGGCTTTGTAGAAGCTTGTCAGTTTGATGAGGTCCCACTTGTCTATCTTATCTCTTATGGCATGGGCACTTGGGGTTTTGATGAGGAGGGATTGGTTGCCAGTTCCAATTTTCATAAGAGTGTCTCCTGCATTTTCTAAGAATCTTAGAGTTTGAGGTTTTACATTTAGGTCTTTGATCCATTTAGAGTTGATTTTTGTGTGTGGTGATAGGTAGGGGTCTTGTTGTAATCTTCTGCATTTACTGGATAGGTTTTTGTCTCTCCAGTGGTTGGTGTTGGAGGCTTTGTCGAAGATGAGTTAGTTAAGAAATTGATGTTTTGCTTCTGGACTCTCTATTCTATTCCATTGATCTGTATCCCTGTTCTTGTACCAATACCAGGCTGTTTTGATTATGTAACATTATAATAAAGTTTAAAGTTTGGGAGTGTGATACCTCGATACCTCCTGCTTTGTTTTTTTGCTGAGGATTGTTTTGATTATTCGTGGTCATTTATGTTTCCATATGAATTCCTGTATTGTCGTTTCCAGGTCTGAGAAGAATGCTGCTGGTAATTTAATGGGTATTGCATTAAATCTGTAAATTGCCTTCGGTAGGATGGACATATTAACAATGTTGATTCTTCTAAGCCATGAGCATGGAATATTTTTCCATTTGTTTGTCATCTTTGATTTCTTTGAGCAGTGTTTTGTAGTTTTCATTGTAAAGGTCTTTCATTTCTCTGGTTAGGAAGATGCTAAGGTATTTCATTTTTTTGTGGCTGTTGTAAATGGGATTGTGCCTTTTATTTGGGTTTCTGTTTGTTTATTGTTGGTGTATAGAAATACGACTGTCTTTTGCACATTTATTTTATACCCTGAGACTTTGCCAAAGTCCTTTATCAGTGCAAGGAGGTTTTTGACAGATTCTCTTGGGTTTTTGAGGTATAGAATCATGTTGTCTGCAAAGAGGGATAACTTGACTTCCTCTTTTCCTATTTGGATACCCCTAATCTCCTTTTTCAGTCTGATTGCTCTAGCTAGAGAAGTATGTTCACCATATGTATTTTGGACCCAATCCTTCCACCACGTGGAGTGGAAGCAGGTAGGCAAAAGATAAAGGCTTGTTTCTTGCCCCCCACCCCCACTGCTATAACCGTATTTTTTCCAGTTTTCTCCATTCCCAAAGGAGAAAATGTCCACATGGTATAACCACTAATAATTCTCCTGTAGCATTTGCCTACCTAACACGACTCCACAGAGGGCATTTCAACCCTTATGGCCAAATCCTCATTATGATGCTAGAAATTCTATTGTCCCACTAGAATTTTGATCATTTTGCTCAAAACTTTGTCCCTATGTAAAGATTCAAATACCCTTGAGCCTTATCTTTGTCAAATATACTCTGGAATAGATCGAATGAGTTATGCAAGCTTTTCTTGCAAATTTTGATTTTGATTAAAAAAAGGTATGTAAAACTTGGAAACATTGTGGAGAGAAGCTGGAATTAACACAGAAAGACACAAGAAGGAGAAAATGGAGGTAGAAATAGATTTTAAAAATTACTATTATTTATTCACCCAGTTAGTATTTATTGCCAAGCACCAAGGGCTTCTAATCTAGCCATAAATGAACTGGTGCTAATGGATGTTACTAAACATTTATGCATATTTTATTGTTTTGCTTATCAGGTGTTGCCCATTTTTAATAGATCAGCTAATTCTAGAAAAATTATTGTAGTCAAACTAACTAAATGTGCCATTTTAGTTGGTTTTTAAATTTTCATTTATGCTTATAAATGGAATCAGTGCTGTTATATTTCAAAAAGTAAAATAAGATTAATAGAACATCAGCATTCATATATGATCAGTGAGTAAATTATCCTAATATTGTCTATCTTTTTTTTCATTCTTGCAGCAAACAAGACTTTGAGTCTGAAAATGAGGTAAGTGCCAAAATAGCTGAAAATCAAATGTAGTAGATAACAAAGAAGATTCTGATATTTGTACTAATAATATTATTTTAGTTAAGTACCTTCATTCAACTGGAAATACAGGTTAGTGAAATTCATTTACATCTTTGTAATAGTTATAAGAGTAATAATCATTCACAAAAATGTTTTATCAACTTCCACTTTATGATTTAATTTGTCTTGGCTTATTACAATATTTAAAATTTAACTGACCACATACTGTCTGCTTTAGAAAACTGAAATCTACACAACTAACTAAATAAATAGCAAATTTTGTTTTTATATGCTTCAAACCCTTTTATAAGTCATGCCAAATAGGTAGCAACTTGAAGTAAAACATTTTTAAGTATTAATCCTATTACATGTGCGTATTTTGCTAATAATTTCTTTTAGTGGAATAAATTACCAAATAAAGAAATGACTGGTTTCAATGCAATAAAAAGCACAATTGCTTCTTTTGTGGTAATTGTTAATCTTTTTCCAATGCATTGGTATACAGTATTGATTACAATAACTCAGTAAGTCCTAAATTGCCATTAAGAAGCACATACTCCAATTCAGCTTCACACCTAAAATTAGTTGAAGGCTTTCAATGTTGCTGTAGCAACATAATAATCTTTCACAAGTCATCATATCTCTATGCAAATTCTCAATAAGCCCTGTAACACCCTTAATTTTTTTATTTCCCAAAGTTTTCATTCTGTAAAAAATCAGCCTGGAATGTCATATCTATCACCCAACAAAATTTCCAGTTGTTGAAAGGTACAATGTGTAAAGTGTTTAGTGGAATTTAATAGACTGTTTTGGTGTTTAATTGTACTTTTGAAAATAGGAATGGAACATCTAATTGATTGCCTAAAGTTTTCCTCTAAAATGCCTGGATTTTGGATTTATTTCTATGATGTTTGTCATATAATTAATGTTTTAAAAGCAAGAACTGTTAAGGCTGGAAATTAAGTTTATAGAAGTTATTTCTCAAAAAGTGAATTGATCTCTTAATGTCCATAAAAATATGCCTCATTCCACAAAGTCAGTGGACTGTCAACCCTAATATTAAAATACTAATGAGTATCTGTTCAATGGATAAGCCTCTCTTTTCTTACAGTCAGAGGACGTCGAATCATTGATTCCTAAAGGATTGTCAGAGTTTACAAAACAGCAAATTCGCTATATTCTGCAGGTGAGATGGGATAAGGAGCTGACATGTGAGATCAACACTAACAGACCACTCCCTAGGATGCTTTCTTTAATTAAGAACAGAAAGTCGCACGTAAAAATCCTGTTTCATAAGAGTTGATTGTTCTTTGATTAGACAAAGGACCATCAAAAACTAGCATTGTAGACTGGCACTCAAGAAAGTATTCTAGAAATATTCCCTTCTGTAGAATGCTTTTAATCACTCCTCAGCACTTTATTACAATCTGACTCTGATTCATATTCTTTTCCCACTTTTCCATTCTACCCTCTACCCCATCCCACCCTACCACACTACTAGCAGAGAAAGATGGAAAGGCCAGTGCCTTACTATTCCTGAATTGTGGAAGTCTAGGGATCACTGGAGCAGTAAATTCCCCTATAGGGAAAGAAGAGAACACAGGTCAAGAGTACGTACAGAGAATGCCAAAAAAAGAGTATACATTTTAAGAAAGAAAAAAAAAGCAATATTAAAATTGTAATACCAAATATATATACTGATAATAAAAGATAAATATAAGTCACGTTTGACTTCTTCAATTATAAGAGGTGTTCAAAGCGTCCATACATTTCTGATTATGACAAACACCTCTTAACATCTCTTAAAATGTGTATACATATTTTGGCACCCCTAGTATATTTGCAAGAAAGGATTCTAAAGATAATCTAGTTTAGCCTTATGAGGTCAATGTCTAAGTTTGATATTTGGTCTCATATCTTTGTTGATTATCTAAGTATCGAACCTAGTAGCATATTTGTATAACTTGAATGAAATATCATTTTAGTAACACACAGTCTGTATTACAAAGATATGATAACATGGGGAACACATATGTTCCTCAGAAACTGAATCTGGGGGATATTATTGATATTATCTCTGGTGGTGGGATGTCTTGCCAAGGTGCATTTCTAGGCTTGTTTTTATTTTTGTTGTTATTGTTCAACTCTTTCTGAGGATTTTTGCATCTAAGTTCATGAAAGACGTTGGTTTGTAGTTTTATTTTATTTTGTATTTTCTCTGGTTTTGGTGTCCGGGTAATACTAGCCACATAAAATGACTGAGGAAGTGTTTCTTTCTTTTCTATTTTCTAGAACGCATGTATATTTCCTGTTTTTTCTTTGTTAAACACTTAGTAGCCTGATTTTGGTTTATTTTGTTCTACTTTGTCTATTTGGTTGACATAAGAACTTAGGTTATGATGTGTAATTTTCTGTTTTCTAAAGTAAGCATTTATTGCTATTTCCCACTTAGCATGGCTTTAGCTATTTTTTCATTAATGTTTGTTTCCATGATATATATTTTCCAATCTTTTACTGTCTTTTATACATATATGCAGAAATTTTATTATATTTGAAGTGATTTTCCTGTAGACAACACATAGTTGGGTCTTTTCCTTCTTATTCATTCTGTCAATCTCTGACTTTTAATTGGCATATTTAGATAAATTGCAATTATTGATATGTAATTGATATACAAGTATTAGACCTAGGTCTGCCATTTTGTTTTCTTTCTCTCTTTCTTTTCTTTTCTTTTTTTTTTTTTTTTTGCTGTTTTTTATTTTCCTACTTTCTTTGTCCTGTCTTCTTATGGATTACTTGAACATGTTTTAGAATTCCAGTTTGATTTGTCTTTAGTGTTTTTGAGCGCATCTCATAGGATAGGTTTTTTACTGGTTCCTCTGGTATTACATTATATATGTATAACTGATCCAGTGTACCAGTGTCAATATTTTACCAGTTTCAGTGCACTAGAGAAATTTTGCTTCATTTATCTCTATTTACCCTCTACATTTATAGATCAGTTGTCTCAAGTATGCCCTTTACATACATTGAGAACTGCATCAGACAATGTTATAATTTTTGATTCAACCATTTAGCATAACTTAGAAAACTCAAGAGAATGAAAACCTATTGTATTTACCCATATTTTTGCTTACCATGCTATTTCTTCTTTCTTAATATCCCAATTCATTCTTTTATCATTTTCTTATCTTCAGAGAACTTCCTTTAACTGTTATTTTAGAGAAAGTCTGCTAGTAACAAATAATTTTAGCTTTTCTTAATCTGAAAATGTGATTTTCTCTTCATTCATAAAGTATAATATCACTGGATACATAATTTACAATTGACAGTTCTTTTCTTTCAGCACTTAAAAAAATAATATGCCACTTCTCTCTGGTCTCTGTGACTTTTAATGAGAAATCTGCTGTCATGTGAATTTCTTTTATTTCGGTTTTTTTATTATAAAGATGTGGGGGGGAATTCAGGGTTAGGTATACAAACGTTGATTATGCAGGTACCCTTGTTGATGAGGTATGCCCCTCCCTCCCCTAGCAGTTTCCCTCAACTGCCAATCAATCCCACCCCTCCTCCTCTGGCAGTTTCCCACTACTACCAATCCCTTTCTTATAGTACTATAATTGTTCAAGGTCTGCTTATGAGTGAGAATATATGGTACTTTATTCTTTGTTTCTGTAATAGATCACTGAGTATGATCGACTCTAAATCCATCCAAGTTGCTGTGAAGTCCATGTATTTGTCCTTCTTTATGGCTGCATAATGTTCCATTGTGTGTATGTACCACATTTTTTTATCCAGTCCAGCTTCTATGGGCAGCATGGTTGGTTCCATGTTTTTGCTATTGTGAATAGAGCTGCAACAAACATATGTGTGCAGGTATCTTTTTGGTAGAATGATTTGAGTTCCTCCGGGTATGTTCCCAATAGGGGAATTGCTGGGTCATATGGAAGGTCAGTTTCTAGTTCTTTCAGAAACCTCTACACTGTCTTCCAAAGAGGTTGCACTAGTTCGCATTCCCACCAGCAGTGTAGAAGCATTCCTTTTTCTCCGCATCTTCAACAGCATCTGTTGTTTGTTTTATTAATGATGGCCATTCTTACTGGTGTTAGGTGGTGTCTCGATGTGGTTTGGATCTGCATTTCTCTGATGATGAGTGAGGCTGAGCACTTTTTCATGTGTCTGTTGGCTGCCTGTATGTCTTCTTTTGAGAAGTGTCTATTCATGTCTTTTGCTCACTTTTTAATGGAGCTGTTTGTTTTTTTCCTTTTGGCGCATTTGAATTCCTTGTAGATCCTAGATACTAGGCCTTTGTCAGATACACAGTTGGCAAATATTTTTGCCCATTCTGTGGGCTGTCTCCCTGCTCTCTTGATGGTTTCTTTTGCTTTACAGAAGCTTTTCAGTTTGATGAGGTCGCACTTGTTTATCTTAGTTCTTAAGGTATGGGCATTTAGGGTTCTGAATAGGAATTGGTTGCCAGTTCCAATTTCTATAAGGGTGTCTCCTGCATTTTCTAAGATTCTGATAGTTTGAGGTTTTATGTTTCAGTCTTTGATCCATTTAGAGTTCATTTTTGTGTATGGTGATAGGTAGGGGTCCTGTTTCAAGCTTCTGCGTGTGATCAGCCAGTTTTTCCAGCAAAATTTACTGAATAGGTTCTCCTCTCCCCAGTGGTTGTTGTTGGAGGCTTTGTCAAAGATGAGTTGGTTGAGAAATTGAGGCTTTGCTTCCTGAATCTCTATCCTGTTCCATTGTTCTATGTACCTGTTCTTGTACCAATACCAGGCTGTTTTGATTACTGTAGCCTTATAGTAAAGTTTGAAGTCTGGATATGTGATACCTCCTGCTTTGTTTCTTTTGCTATGGATTGTTTTGGCTATTTGTGGTTATTTATGTTTCCATATGAATTTCTGTATTGTCATTTCCAGGTCTGAGAAGAATGATGTTGCTAACTTAATGGGTATTGCATTGAATCTGTAGATTGACTTTGGTAGGATGAATATCTTAACAATGTTGATTCTTCCTATTCATGAGCATGGATTACTTTTCCATTTGTTTGTGTTTTCTTGGGTTTCTTTGAGCAGTGTTTTGTAATTCTCATTGAGGAGGTCTTTCACTTCTCTGGTTAGGAAAATGCCGAGGTATTTCATTTTTTGGTGGCTATTATGAATAGGATTGTGGTTTTTATTTGGGTCTCTGCTTGCTTGTTGGTGTATAGGAATGCAACTGTCTTTTGTACATTGATTTTGTACCCTGAGGCTTTGCTAAAGTCCTTTATCAGTACAAGCAGGCTTTTGACAGATTCTCTTGGATTTTCAAGGTATCAGATCATATCATCAGCAAAGAGGGATAACTTAATTTCCTCTTTTCCTATTTGGATGCCCTTTATTTCCTTCACTTGTCTGATTGCTCTAGCTAGGACTTCCAATCCTATTTTGAAAAGGAGGAGTGAGAACGGGCAACCTTGTCTTTTTTCAGTTTTCAGGGGAAATGCTTCCAATTTCTGCTTGTTTGACAATATGTTGGCTGTGGGTTTATCATAGATGGCTCTTACTATTTTGAGGTATGTTCCCTCTATGCCTAGGTGTTCAAGGGTTTTTATCAACAAGGGATGATGGATTTTATCAAAAGCTTTTACTGTATCTAATGATATAATCATGTGATTCTTGTTTTTACATCTGTTTTTGTATTGAGTTACATTTTTGGTTTTGTGGATGTTGAACCAGCCCTGCATCCCAGGGATTAAGCCTACCTGGTCATAATGGATGTTTTTTGAGATGTGTTATTGGATCTGATTTGCTAGAATCTTGCTGAGAATTTTTGCATCTATGTTTATAAGGGGTATTGGCCAACTAGCTCTCTTTCTTTGTTGGATCTTTACCTAGTTTGGATATCAGTGTGATTTTAGCTTCATAAAATGATTTGGGGAGTATTCTGTTTTTCTCAGATTGCCTTGAATACTTTCATAGTATTAGTATCAACTCCTTGTATGTGTTGCAGAATTCTGCTGGAAAGTCTTCTGGCCCAGGGCTTTTTTTTATAGATAGTTTTCTTATGATGGACTCAGTTGTTCTATCTTTAACTTCACAAATTCTTTCTTCTGTTCTCTCCATTTTGCTTTTTAGCCCATCCACTTGATAGTATTTTGTTTTGCTGTGGTTTTTGTAGTTTTGTTTTGGTTATTGAAGTTTTTAGTTCTAAAACTTCCATTTAGTTACTCACTGTATCTTCTATTTTTTAATGAGACTTTCTATTTCGTTATCAAGACATCATATTTTTTTATCTAAGTATGCTTGCAATTTTTTGTTGAAACACTTTATGACGTTTGCTTTCAAACTTTTGTCATGTAATTTTAACCTTTCTGTTATCTTATGTGTGGTCTATTAATTGTTTTTTTTTCTTATCAAGTTGAGATTTTCCTTGTTCTTAGAATAATAAGTGATTGTCAATGGAAAGTTAAGCATTATTGGTATTATGTGATGATACTCTGTATCTCATTCAAATATTCAGCTTTGGCAGGCTTGCTCTGATACTGAAACATCAGGAGTATGGGCACTGCCTATTACTGCCAGCAGGTGGTGGAATTTGAGGTTTCTCCACTCAGTCTCTCTTGATATAACCCTAACAGACATCACAGTGCTTGGGATTTTATTTTCATTCAGTGCAAGTGAAAGCCCCATCAGTTCAATCTGTGTTCTCTGACACAAACCTCGTAAATGATGCTGGTATGCCTCCTTAGAGTCTGACAAGGGGGAAGTTTAGGCTCCCCTTTTGGTCTTTGATGGTTTGGGTGGAAGTAGAACTGCATTTTTTTTCTGTTGTACTTGGCTAGAGTAAAGTGATTATTATCTAAAAGTTCTGTCCTGCTAGGCTACCCCTTTCACAATCCTTTGGCTAGAGAGAGAAGGCTTTTCTCAGAACTTTTTTTTTTCTGTATCCATTGATGTGTCTGGATTAAATTCCCCAACATCAGTCTGATGTATGAAGGAAAAAAAAAATTCAGGAACTCAGTTCCGTGTCATTTCTCAAGTCCCAAGATTCCTAACCAGTTTTCTTTTCAACATTCCAAGTCTTTTTATATTTGTTTTATATATGTATGCAGAGTTTTTAGTTGTACTTAGCAGGAGAACTAGGGGAAACTATTTCTAGTTCATCTTTCCAGAAGCTGAAGTTATCTGTTTTTAAAGATTTTTTTCTTTGAAGAAATGAGAATAATCTAGTGAAAGGTTTTCCTCTTCTTTAAAATTTGAGATGTGGTTTTATGTTTCAAAGTTATAAACTTAATTCATATTATATTCTTCTCATCCCAGGCGAAATCCATGCACTTGGCAGTACACTTAGGGAGATTCATTTCATTATTTGAAAATTGACTGCCTCATCTTTTCTAATCTTTTAAATAAAGAATAAAAGTAAAATTGAAAATTTGCTGATAGAATTTCACCTTGTGACAAAAGATGATAACATGAAAAAATAATAAATTCTCGTTCTAAATCATAGTTATGATTGCTTTAGGAATATTGTTTGGATTGCTTAAGTACATTATTGACAAGATGCCTTATATCACTTTTCTAATATTGCCATATCAAAAATAAAATTATTAATACATTTGCTGTTAGAAAGAGAAAAGTAAGATTACATTTACTTATATACTGCCTAGTTTCAAATGTTAGTAAAAAAACTATCAACTGTTTTCTTCCTTCAGATGAGGGGCATGTCTGTTAAGTCACTCCGTCTAGTGCTGTCCACATTTAACAATATACGAGAGGAACTTGGACATCTTCAAAATGATTTGACAGTAAGATTTATTGTGATTTTTCTTTCCAAAGCCTTTCTAGTACCTAACTTTCTAATATAGAAATAAAAATGTTCAGCCAACCTTTTTAAAATTTAATAAAGCAAAAAAAAAGTGCACTCACTCAGACACAGCTAAATTATTTCCTTGAAAAATTAATTGGGGTTGAAGAGGATAAAAGAGATGTCCAATATGTAAATGAAAGAATATTGGGTGTGTACTTATTATATAGTTTACCACTAAGGCAATTTAATACTTAAAACTAGGGAGTAGCCTGAAAAATTAAAATAATCTGACTCATTGAAGGCAAATGCCCTTCTTTTCTATAATAATAAAGCATATTCTGAATTTATCTTCAACTATAACAACTTGAAAACTTATTTCTCCAAGAACTTAACCTTTTCTGTTTTCAATTTTAATTGATGTTCTTGATTCTATCAGCTAGATTCATTCAGAATGCTTTCCATACAATGAATAACTCTTTGAGGACTTTGGAATAGTTTCTTCATTTGTTTGTTTCTGAGTTCTGATGAACATATTTAGACTTTAATTTAAAAATTAACCACTTGCTGAGATTAACAAGGGGTCTTTGTAGCTTGGAAAAGAAACTAAAACATTTCAGAAGGTTCTGCTTCATTGCATACAGAGTTAGTCAATCCATCATAATGTACTCTTTTATTGCAGGTTTTAAAATTTTCAATCCTTTCTTATCCTATATTTTGCTATACTTTTAAGAATTCTGCTTTATTAACCAAGTGTAAATGAAACAAGTGCTTATTTACAATTTTCAAGGTAAACAAATCTTTGTATTATGTAACTTTTCACAAATTTCTGAGTAATTCTGAGTCATAATAAATAATTTATGCTTCTAGTCACTGGAAAATGACAAGATAAGACTTGAGAAAGACTTGGCATTCAAAGAAACTCAAACAAAAGAATATGAAGAACTCTTGGCATCAGTGAGAGCAAACAATCGCCAGCAGCAGGTAAGGTGATGCTTTTATTGATGATAAACTATATTGATAGCTTTTTGTATGTACAATTACTGGTACATTGATGTTATGAGATACAGTCCAGAGATAATTAAAACATGATAGAACACTTTTTCATATGAGAATTGAGTGACTTTGAGTATTTCCAGTGACTGAAAGTACTCTTTGATAAACAGATAGCCTTAAATAGTTTAGATATAAAATATATACAGTACGCAATTGTATCTGTTGTTGGTTGACAAGAATTGTGTAGACTGAAATTCTAGGTTCTTATATTCACTCTACCAATGTCAATGAAAAAAGCTTTTGTAGACTTTAACACGTTTGTGCAATTAATAAATGGGTGAATACACTCTAGAAGATCTCTTTAAATCTCTGAACAGAGATAATTCTTAAGAAATTCTAAGGCGTGTCTAAGGCTCACTTCTTCCTAATCTTCACTCCCATGACTGTCCCAAATTCTTATTCAGTTGCTAGTTGTCACATAATCAGGTATATGGTTATTTTTGTGCTTATAAGAAGGCAGAATTCAGTATTATCAAAGAGTAGCAAGAGCCTGATTGGTAAATTGGTTGGAATATACACAATTCATTAAGTCTTGATTCTTTCTCATTCAAAATAGGCAAGTGCAATTAAAAGCAAGACTCTAATATCTTACATGACTGATTTAATATACCATCTAAGGGAAAGGATATAAGAAAACTTGGCATGGAAAAATAAGTACTTGATTTTGACTGAATGAGTTAATTAAAAGAGCACTCCCCAGCAAAAAGTAAAATGCATTTATCTTATGTACTTGTGTCTTCCTTACAGCAAGGACTTCAAGACTCAAGCTCAAAATGCCAGACATTGGAAGAAAACAATCTCTCTCTTCGGCATACACTGTCAGACATGGAATACAGACTAAAAGAACTAGAATATTGTAAATGCAGTTTAGAGCAAGAGAATAAAAACCTTAGGATGCAGGTATTAAAACTATGTTTTAAATATATAGTGTTGCCTTAGCTATGCCATTGTAATCCTAGCACTGGCAGTAGTAAAGACACACACACACATACATGCACACACACATACACATACACATTTATATATACACGTGTGTGTGTGTGTGTGTGTGTGTGCGTGTGTGTGTGTGTGAGTCTGTATCAGGGGGTGCCAAAAATTGTATACACATTTTAAGAGATGTTATCTATGTATTACTTTTAGTTCACCATAATCAGAAGTGTCTAGATGCTGATGGTAACTACTTTGAGCATCCCTTGTAGTTACAGAAATCAAATGTGACTTGTATTCAACCTTTGTTTTTGGAATATTGAGTATTACAATTTTAATAGCTTTTTCCTTTCTTAAAATGTGTATACTTATATACACACACATATATATAATTGGGAAGTTCAGCTAATAATAAGCCTTGTAACATAATATGTATTTCCTTTATATCGATCCACTTACAAAAAATTATTTTGTCTTGTTTAGGTTTCTGAGACTTGCACAGGCCCAATGCTGCAAGCTAAAATGGATGAGATTGGCAACCATTATATGGAGATGGTAAAAAACTTGAGAATGGAGAAAGATAGCGAAATCTGCAAGCTAAGGGTATGTTGATGCTACATTGCATAAATACACAGATCAGCACAAACTTTCTAACAAGATAGATAATGATGTTTTCAAGTTTAACGCTACAAGGAAATATCAATAAAGCTACAAGGTATGGCTTTAGGAATATGGCATGGAATCTTTTTTTTGACTAAATACACATTATTGTATATAACATATCATTGTTGTTTTCCCTTTTAGCTTAATCTCTTCCAGAAAAATAAAAGAAGATATTAATTTCAGTGTTTTGGTTTTTTATTAATTTGTCTTTTGAGATAGGTGGATAACACTTTATGATCTTCCTTAAAGCATGCTTATACAGGCAAGAACAATATTTGAGATTATCCAGCAAAGTCATCATTGGACTCATAAAAAGCCTCCCTTAACTTTGAAGGATGATAAATAGCAAGGGCTTTATCAAGCATAAAGATACAGCATTGAATTTTATGTACCTATGATTGGCATCAAAATTAAGATGATATTTTAAATAATAAGTATACATTGCCTTATCTTGTAATTCTAGGTTGAATTGACTTATTCTAACCCTGAATTTACTGATTTCTAAATGCAGTAAAATATGATTAAATATTTTAACAGACAATTTAACCACTGACTTGTCTCTCCAAATATCACTGCACAATCTTTACCAAAAATCAAAATGAAATATAACACAATTTGTTTAAAAGCTTACCAATGCTTCTAGCTGATTTCCTCCACTGATTTATTTTCTATTCCAGTATGATTTATTAAAGGCACTTTAATCTAACAGCCATCTATGTACACGTATAATGAGGTAAAGAGGAAGATAGACAAGATTTGTAGTCAGAAGAACTGTCTTGGTAGAGTTGCAGCTTTGTTACTGTGTGATTCTGTATTATTTAACCTTTCTGTAATTCAATACCTGTTTTTTAAATAAAGATTATAATAATACTTATCTCATGAGCTTCTCTGAGAACTGAGATGTCATGCAAGGAGGAGTATTTTGTGAACTGAAAATCAGAATGTAACACTAGTTATTAGTATTAAGGGATTTCCTTAATTAGTGTTTGAAGGGCTCTAAAGTGTCTGTTTTCTTAGTTGTATTTTAAATCTTATGGACCAAGACTTATACTTAGAGAGTGCTTAGTCCAAAATAGCAAAGGCAACATTTTAAAAAAGAGAGTTTCCTCATTTCAATTCATATTTTATATACAAAAAAATTCTATGTAAGTGTATAACTATTGGTATTTTATTTTTTATTTCATAACTAGCTGTATGAGTTTGTGTCACTAAACCTCCCTGGAATCCAATTACATGTTTTGTAAATGAAGATTATAATAATTATTATTTCCTTTTAAATCCTTAGTCCCAATTAAACCAGTACCAAAAAGATGTTTCAAGAAGAGAAGGAAGTTGTAGTGACTTCCAATTTAAGCTTCATGAACTGACAACCTTGCTGGAAGAGAAGGATTCCCTTATAAAGCGTCAGTCAGAGGTAAAAAAGGAAGAAGTGGGGGTGGAGAAGTCTTGTGGAATAAATACTTTCCGGTGAACTAGAAAAAAAACGCATTTCCAAGACTCACTTTATTACATAAAACAGATGTAAGTGCATGGGAAAAAGTAGAAGATATGTATTTCAGGAAAAAAAATGTTCAAATGAAATCTATAATTAAGGCAAAAAATAAGTGCTATGGTACATTTAATATGTTTAAAACATTGATTTTATATTACATTAGCTGAAACTCCCAATAAGACTTTGAGCACCTTATCAGATTATGAGCTACTTCATTAAGATACTATATTTCTCCTTGTTTCTATAGCATGTAGCCCAGGATACGGCATTCAGTTGGTACTGAAGGAATTACTAAAAATGATAGCTAATATTGTATTGCTATTATGGAACAAATCGTGCTTATAGCAACATTCAGTGATAGACTTTCTGTTAGGAACCTATATCTGCTTCCATACTGAAGTTTCAATACTTTTCTACTGTGGCTACCCTTTTCAGGTTTTTGGGGGCAGAAACTTAACATCCTCATCATGAGAACCACGCCTGTTTAATCTCAAATTATTCTCCAAATATAGATATCCAGTATCAGTTAGTGGGTTACTGCACAGACATATAATATGACTTATTGGGCACTGTGAAGCAACATTATATGATATTCAGCAAGTAGAATTAGAACATTCTTACCTCAGGACTAAAAAGGAAGGAGAAAGGGGGTGTACTTATTCTTAGTAAACTTGCTAAATAATAAAACATACTTCTTATCTTATGTTCTTACTTTCCTTCAAATGATATTATCTTTTATTTGTTAGGAACTCTCAAAGTTGAGACAAGAAATATATTCATCTCATAACCAACCCTCCAGTGGTGGAAGGACTACTATTACTACTAAAAAGTAATGTATTTTTCAATGAAGTTTGACTGTGACGTGGTTATTATATGAGGGGGGACCAAAAGAAAAAACCCAGAATTTATTCATAAAAATTGTATATTTAGCCGGGCTCGATGGCTCAGCCTGTAATCCCATGCTTTGGGAGGCTGAGGTGAGTGGATTGCCTGAGCCCGCGGGTTCGAGACCCACCTGGGCAACTTGGTGAGACCTCATCTCTACAATAAATAAAAAAATCAGTCGGTCATGGTAGCGCATGCCTGTAATTCCGGCTACTCAGAAGGCTGAGGCGGAAGGATCGCCGGAGCCCAGCAGGTCGAGGCGGTGGTGGCCGGGAGCAGCCACTGCACTACAGTCTGGGCGACAGAGTGAGACTCCAACTCAAAAAAAAAATTGTATATTTATTCTTACATGTTTAAACTTCAGTCACCCTCAAAGTACTGTCCATTTCATGCAGTACACCTATTGAGACACTTTTTTTCACTGCTTAAAACGGTTTCTGAACTCATAAATTTTGATGCCTTTTAGTGCTTCTGCCGTTTTTTGTTTCACCTCTTTCACATCAGCAAAAACATTTCCCTTTGAGGACTTTTTTCATCTGGAGAAACAAAAAAAGTCTTTCAGGGCAAGATCAGGTGAATAGGGAGGGTGGGGCATGAAGGTCATGCCATTTTGGGTCAAAAACTGCTGAACATTCAGTGTGGTGTGGGCAGGTGCACTTTTAAATCACCCATCATGATATGGGCAAAGGCATTGAAAGAATCTCCTAAAAAACATTTATTGAATCGAACTCAGCCTTTCACAGAAATGCTAGTTGGTGCACTGATGTCGATTGGTTCCTAGAACACTCACATAGCGGAGGAAGCCTGTACTACAAGGTACCTGCCCTCCAAAAGATAATTCTGGGATTTTGGGGCATCCCTTCTCATATAATCAAAGTTACTACAATATATATTACTATATATATATAAACAGAGTTTAGTTTGATGTTTTCTGCTGACCAGTTACTCTACTGAATGAATATTCACACACACACACACACACACATACACACACACACAAACACACAAATCGCTGTTATGGTCAACATAATCCTATAGCACACTTTTCCTGTATTTACAATATATTAAACATGGAAGTGAAAAACAAATAACTGTTGTTTAACCAGTCATATTAATTAGAACTTTTTCAATTGCATGTGACAGAGACACAGCTTAAACTGGGAATTAGTTAATTTACTTAACATGGAATTGCTTGATGCCCAGATGGATTTGTGTACTCAAAATATGTCTTTATACATTTTTCTTTTCTTGTATATTGACTCTGCTCTTTCCTGCACAGACAATATTCTTAGGCAGGGTCTCCCCATTGTAGTGATATTACAGCAGCTTACATTCCAGCAATTTAGTAAAACAAAATATAAAATAACTATGAATAGCTTCAGCAGAAGGCTATTTTGAATAGTTTATATAAATGAAATAATATAATAGTCTTTTGTGTCTGTATTATTTCATTTTGCATAAAGTTTTCAAAATACAACCATGTCAGCATGTGTCAGGACTTTATTCCTTTATGGTGTTAAATTATATCCTATTTTATGGATATACAGTATTGTGTTTATCTGTTCATCAGTTGATTAACATTTTAGCTATTTTCAATTTCTGGCTATTATGAATAATGCTGCATGAACATTTGTGTACAAGTTTGTGTAGTATATGTATTCATTTCTCTTGAGAATATATCTAAAAGAGGAATTGCTTAGTCACATAGTAACTCTATGTTTATCTTTGAGGCATGGCCATACTGTTTCCCAAAGCAACAACACCGCTGTACATTTCCACTGGAAGTACTGGTGTTAAGGTTCAACTTTCTCCTAATCATTGCACTGCCTATTGTTCATCTCTTGGATTTTAGCCTTCCTATGGGGTGGGAAGTGGTTTCTAGTTGTAATTTTGATGTATTTCCCTAATAACTAACGTTGTTTAGCACTTTTTCATTATTGGTCATTTATGTGTCTTTTTTGGAAAAATGTCTAGTCAAATTCTTTTTCCATTTTTAAAATTGGGTTGTCTTTTTATTGTTGAATTTTAAAAGATTTTTATATATTCTGGTATAAGTTCCTTATCAGAGATATGATTTGCACATTTTTTCCCATTCCATGTGTTGCCTTTTCACTATCTTGATAGTATAATTTGCAGCATAATTTTTAATTTTGAAAAAAGTCTAATTAATCTATTTTTTCTTGCTTACGCTCTTGGTATCATATATATAAAGCAAATTGCATAAGCTAATGTCATGAAGATTTAAATCCATGTTTACATCTAAGAGCTTTATCATTTTATCTATTACATGTAGATCAGTAATCCATTTTGGTTTATTGATGTGAAGCAGAAGTTCAAGGTCATTCTTGTGCATGGGGATACCAGTTGTTCCAGCACTTGTGAAACACTATTTGTGAAACACACTATTCTCTTCCTCATCAAAATGAGTTGGCACCCTTATCTATAATCAAATGATCATAAATGTAACAGTAAAAGTTGTAAACTCACAATTTTATTCTACTAATCTATTTGCCTTTCTTTATGTCAGTGTCACACTGTCTTGTTTACAATAGCTTTTTAGTAAGTTTTGAAATCAAGAGTGTGAGTTTTCAAACTGTTTGGCTTTTCAAGATTGTTTTGGTACTGGTGTTAAGGTTCAACTTTCTCCTAATCATTGCACCGCCTATTGTTCATCTCTTGGATTTTGGCCTTCCTATGTGTTGGTCCTCTGTTTTTCCATGTGAATTTTAGGATGTTTGTGAGTTTCTGCAAAATATACCGTTAAAATTTTTATTGGAATTTCATTCAATATGTAGGACACTTTGGGTAGTATTCTCATGTTAACAATATTAAATTTTTTGATCCATGAGCATGTGATCCTTTTATATTTAGATTCTCTTTAATTTCCTAAAACAGTCTTTTGTAGTTTTCACTGGTTAAGTCTTACTTCTTTTGTTACAGCTATTCCTAAGTATTAGATATTTTATGTTATTGTAAGTGGAGTTATTTTATTGATTTCATTTTTCACATTTTGTATTGTAACTATATAGGATTATGACTGATTTATTTTTGCATTGGCCTTGCATTCTTTAACCTTGCTGAGTTTTTTTATGTTTTAATCGTTTCTTTTCAAATTCCTTCAAAATTTCTCTATATAAAATCATGTCATTCTCAAATACAGATAGTTTTAATTCTTCATTTTGATCTAGATGCATTTTTTCCTCTATCTTGCCTACATGCCCCAGAACTTCCAGTACGATGCGAAATAGAAGTGGTAAGAGTGGATATTCTTGTCTTATTCCTGATTATATGGACAAACATATACTCTTTAACCATTAAATGTGATGTTAGCTGTGGGCTTTTCATAGATGGCTTTTATCAAGTTAAGGACGTTACCGCCTACTTTTAGTTTATAGAGATTTATTTTATTTATTTTTTTATTATAAAGATGTGGGGTACAATTCAGGGTAAGGTATACAAATGTTGATTATGCAGGTACCCTTGTTGATGAGGTATGCCCCTCCCTCTCCTAGCAGTTTCCCTCAACTGCCAATCCCACCCCCTTCTGACAGTATCCCACTACTGCCAATCCCTTTCTTATAGTATTATAATTGTTCAAGGTCTGCTTATGAGTGAGAACATATGGTACTCTGTTCTTTGTTTCTGTGATAGATCACTGAGTGTGATTGACTCTAAATCCATCCAAGTTGCTGCGAGGTCCATATGTTGATCCTTCTTTATGGCTGCATAATATTCCATTGTGTATATGTACCACATTTTAAAAATCCAGTCCAGTTTCGATGGGCAGCATGGTTGGTTCCATGTTTTTGCTATTGTGAATAGAGCTGCAACAAACACACGTGTGCAGGTATCTTTTTGTAGAATGATTGGAGTTCCTCTGGGTATATTCCCAGTAGGGGAATTGCTGAGTCATATGGAAGGTCAATTTCCAGTTCTTTCAGAAATCACCACACTGTCTTCCAAAGAGGTTGCACTAGTTCACATTCCCACCAGTAGTGTAGAAGTGTTCTTTTTTCTCCGCATCCTTGCCAGCATCTGTTGTTGTTTGTTTTTATTAATGATGGTCATTCTTACTGGGGTTAGGTGGTATCTCAATGTGGTTTTGATTTGCATTTCTCTGATGATGAATGAGGCTGAGCACTTTTTCATGTGTCTGTTGGCTGTCCGTATATCTTCTTTTGAGAAGTCTCTATTCAACTGTGTTGGAAGTCTTAGCTAGGGAAATTAGACAAGAGAAGGGAATCAATGTATCCAAATAGGAAAAGAGGAAGTCAAGTTATCCCTCTTTACTGATGATATGATCCTATACCTTGAAAATCCAAGAGAATCTGTCAAAAACTTGCTTGCACTGATAAAGGCCTTAGATTGCTCTTCTTATTTTGGTTGCTAAGATGGAAGTCTAGATTACTGATTTGAAATTGTTCTTCTTTTATGGAATAAGGGCTTATAGCTATACATTTCCCTCTGAGCACAGCTTTCACTATACCCCACAAATTTTGGTATGTTGGTTTATTCATTTGCAGTCATCTCAAAGTATTTTCTGACTTCTCTTTTTATTTATTCTTTGAACCATTCATTATTTAAGAATGTTACTCAATTTATATGTATTTGTGGACTTCCCAAATTCCCTATTATTATTTATTTATTTATTTTTATTTTTTATTTTTTTTGAGTTGAAGTCTCATTCCGTCGCCCAGACTGGAGTGCAGTGGCATGCTCCTGGCCACTGCAGCCTTGCTCCACTGGGCTCCCACTGCAGTCTCGCCCCACTGGGCTCCGTCAATACTTTCACCTCAGCCTTCCAAGTAGTCAGAATTACAGGCACACGCTAACACGCTTGGCTAATTTTTGATTTACTGTAGAGATGAGGTCTTGCCAAATTGCCCAGGTGGGTCTCGAACCCATGGGCTCAGGCAATCCATTCACTTCGCCCTCCCAAATTGC